TTAATCGCCTTGAGCTCAAAATAATCCTTATGCCAAATCCTCATGTTGAGGTGGCATATTGATCCCCTGCAGAGCTGCCTCATGCTGCCCGGTTGCTGGCATGTTGCCTTTGTTATATGTTGGCTCAGAAGATTGTTTAAAAGCACAATTTCTCATCTGTATTCACCTTTTGGAACTACAATGAAAGTTAAAGGATTAAATGCTTCAATATAACATTCAGTTCATAAAGCATCAATATTACTCACTTCTGGTGTCTGAGCAGCTGAATTCCATATAACTGGTCTCTGAAGGAACACAACCTGCTTTGTAGCCAAATTCCCTTCACTGCAAATCAAAACAACAGCATGAGTATTTGGGACTTGGTAATTCTCTGTATTTCACACTTGGCTAGAATATTCCACATGTATCCTTGGTAAAATAATCTTCCGATCCAAAAATAATTAAGAAATATGATTCTGTATGAGTTGCAGCTGGAAAAACAAGGGAAAATATATCCCTGAAAACTGAATATGGTCATTACAAAAGAAAACTTTAATGTTTAAAGCCTGTAACCTCACTGTGCTAACATAACTCTTTTCATCTCCTTGCGTCCCCTCCTGGTCTCTATCAGCCTGTTTCTGCATGTCTGTAACCACTGCATGTTTGCATTTCTGTGTTCTGTGCTTTTCACCCAACACCCTTTCCTCATTTGTACACTGGGATCATATTCTTAATAGCTGCTCAGTATCTCAAAGACTTAAAATACCAGAATGTACTAAGCTGTTCCTTTATTATTGAAAGACTAGATTGTTTCCAGTTTTCTGTTAATTATAAAAATGCTGCTATAGAAATGTGTATAGCCTTCCTAGCCTTATGACTTATTTCCTTGAGATAAATTCTCAAGGATGGGGTTCTTAGGTCAAAAGGGTACGATTTAAGCTTCTTGGTTCGCACTGTCAATCGTATCTTATAAAAAGAAGGGACCCTTTGGGCTGCCGCATGTGAGAAATGTTATATACATTTTCAGTGGAGGGCTTTGAGCCACACACAGCTCGGTTTATTTTCAGATGCCTCTTTGTAGACAGCTACTCAGTATTCTCCTTATTTAACTATCATCAAGGCCAATTACCCCTTGCCAGAAACTACTTGGGGTTTGGATTTCCCTGAAAGCTTTTCACAGAGTCTCCACGGATTTATGGAGAGGAGTGTCTGTAGCTAATGTTGCTCAGTTACAACTTTTATTATGCAAAACCCCCAAACAAAACCTCACTATTAGCTGCATTTTACGCTGAGCTCTTTTTCTGGAAAACAAATGCAACATTGAAACACCCGCCTTCAGAGGTATATGTCAACCCCATCCCAAATTTACTGATACTGTTGAATTTTGAGAAACAGGAAAAAAACCTTACCCCAAGATGGTAATGACAGACTATTTTTTTTCTCTTTTTAAAAGGCTGTTTCTAGTCTAATTTCATTTTAATTTGACCTCAGATTAGAAGAAAATACCTGGTATGAAATATATCGTAACTTTGGGAACAACTTGAACCATCAGGAGACATCAGTGATGACGACGTATGCGTCCAGGGAAGGGACTAGCAGTGTACAGAATAGGCCCATCTGTGTTTGGGGGGCTTGGGGTATAATGGAAAAGATAGTGGCTTTAGAACCAGAAGTTCCTGGATTCAAATCCTGACTCTACTACAGCATTTAAGAGCGGATGACTTTAGTGGAGTCCTTAAATTATCTGACTTTCCCTTCCCATCAGGGACCTTGTGGAGGAGAAATAAGTTGATGTGCATGAAGAGCAAAACAAATGTAATTTCCTTCCACTTTCTCCATTCATTTGTTTATCTGTGGGGTGGGGTTAAGTTGGAGGGATGTCTCAGAATTAAAAATATCTTCCTGGGAGAAAAGTCAAGGGAAAGGGTACACGAGAATAGAGAAGAGGTTTCTGGGTAACAATCCCTGTAGAGAATCACATGAGGGAACAAAGCCTAGAAATATCCAAAGATGAGAAGGAAAGGTCAGGATAGAATTACTCTTCTTGAATACAAAGCAGGAGAATGTTAGGGTAGGGACTGTGGGTGACCCTGAGGTAAGTTTTTCCAAAAGGACTATGGGATGGGCAAGTCTGAATGCACTAGGATGTAATGTCTGTTCCAGAGCAGGCTCTCCACCATTACTAATCTGGTAAAACAGTAAATGTGGAGATAGTTTCTCAGAGGTCAATTATGTTAGGACAGTCTCTGGATGCCCATAAGACTTTGGAAGGTCGGCGTCTTCCTATCTCTTGGGAGGCTCTTAGAGCCAGATCCTCAATTTGAAATGTCTGAGACCTTGAAGTCTCTGGTTTTCTCAGGGACATTCTGACTTAAAATAGGCCCTGCTATTTTCAGGACATCAGTGAGTTGTGGAACTCCTTTTGGTTTGGAGAATCTAATCATGGTGAACTAAGAGAAAGAGGTCTGGAGCCTTCCAGAGTGACAGCTACTTGTCAGGGCAAACGAGCTCCTCTCAGTCTCCATGGCTCTTGGGGGTAATTCTATTCCCTGAACTGGGATAGAATACTTGCCCCGCAGCATAAATTTCCGACAGGATTTGACTGGTGGAGTCATTATGGGACCAGAGAGCACTTCAAACGCCCTGGGTGCTCTCAGAGGGCAGGGCCTACCCTACATCTCCTTTTCCTACAGAAATTTTCATCTAAAATGTGCTGGATGCGCGTGGAAATGGGTTCGACCAGTTCTACAGCTTTACACTACAAAATGTCAGGATGCATGAGTTTTTCTGTAATGTGTTTATCGGAAAGGCAGCCGAGTGTGGGTGAGACAGCATGTATGGCTTTAGAGTCAGACTGACCTTGGCTTTGCTTCCCAGTTCTGCTGCTTACTAGCTATGTGATGCGGAGCTAGTCACCCAATCTTTCTGAGCCTCCTGTTTCTTTTCTGTAAAACAGAGATCATTCTAACGGTATCAGTGAGCTGGTGAATGTCAAGTTCTTAGCACAGACCCTGAGCACAGTAGGTGCTCAATAAATGTTTCCTCCTCCCTCTCTTATCTTCTGTGTATTTCATAAGAAAACAAAAAGAAGTCTGGATTTGGGTGCCCTTTAAGGGTGAAGGGCTTGCTATTGCATCAATAGACTATCAAGAAAGTCTGGCTTCCCAGTAACAGAAAAATCTATGGGCTAAATGAAGAAAAGGAACTTCAATTTGTGTAGTGCTTTTGGTGTGCTGAGTACTTTCCATGTAAATGAGCATGTTTGTTTCTTATGATAGTCCTCTGGGGTGGGCAGAGAAGATATTCTTTTCCTCATTTTATGGATAAGGAAACTGAGACCCAGAGTTTTTAAGACAACATTATCCCTACAGCAAGTGTAGGATGAACTCGGTAACATCCTGACTAGAGAGAAAAGTGGTCTAGTTTAATTCCATTCTGACTGGGAAACTTTATAATAAATAGGTAAGTGTAGACTACTTTGCAAAAGTGCAGATTTTTCCTGTACATCTGAAACAAATATAAAATAATATTGAATGTCAACTGTAATTGAAAAACAAACAAACAAACAAACAAACGGGAAAAAAGTGCAGATTTTTCTGTAGCATCTCCCCAAATTAGCATTTCAGTTTATACTGTTCAGGGGTTGGAGTGGAGAATAATGAAGAAAATCAAATCAAACAGTCTGATGGGCCAATCAGACTATTTGAACAGACCACACAGGTCCTGGTGTTAGTATGGCCAAAGGAAGGAGAGAAATGGGAGCAAATTCATGACCTGTGGCGTTCAAACTCCATATAAACGATGAATCATTGAAAGCTTTGCCTTAAAGTGGTTACCAGAGAGTAAGATGGGGGGAGGGGCGGTTGAAGAGGGTAAAGGGGTCAAGTATATGGCGATGGAAGAACTGACTCTGGGTGGTGACCACACAATGCAATATATAGGTGATGTATTATAGAACTATACACTTGAAACCTATATAATTTTATTAACTAGTATAATATCCCCCCAATAAGTTAAAAAAAAAGTACCTCAATCAAAAAATTTCCCTCATGAATTCCGTTTTGCATTAGAGTGAATAGTAGTAATACAAACAAACAAGCAACAAAAATAAAACTAAAAAGCAATTCTATCATAGTTTGATAATATTTGTAGTGATATTTAAATTTTAAAGTTATTTTTGTAAGAAGTTACGAGGACAACATGAACTCCTGCTTGGTCCAGTATTTGCTTATGATTTCAAGCGTCTATGAAACAGAGCTGGAGTACTTAGAGTTTATGGGTAGGTGGGAGAGAGTCTTCCTACAGCCTTTAAAATATAAAAACTAAGGTCATATTTGCTTGGTCAGTGGGAATTCCACAATCCCGCTGCTCATGGCTAAATTTCTGCTTGTGACGTTCTCCCACCTGGTATGTCCCTGCTACCACCTCTGCCTCTTCCCACCCTGCCCATCTTTTGACATTCATTTGAGGTGTGACCTCCTTCAGAAAGTCTTCAGCGATCCCTCAATTAAAGAGCAACACCCCCTTTTCGATGCCCTTTACCAGGTCACATGGTCGCTGGTATGGAGCTTATGCCCTTTACCAGGTCGCATGGTCGCTGGTACACGCATTTCCCTCCTGCCAGGTCTAAACAACCTGAGGAGCTTGTCTCCTCATCTCTGCATTGTCCACATGAATTAGCAGAAAGCCTCCTTTTAAAATCATTTTCAGTAAATATCTAAAAAGTCAAAGACTATGTATGAATAAGTAGTCATTTGGTTTCTGTGATAATGTAACACACTTAAAAAAAATCATAGCATGTGAGCAAAGATTTGGAGGACAGAGAGAAGGCTTCCCAGGTCTTTTTACATCTATGAAGTTCATTGACATTTAGTACGGATCTTTTAAGCTTTAACTTTTTCTTCTCTTCCTCACAAAATGTATTCTTCAGGCACTTCAGCTTATAATAACTATAGCTTAGAGAATTTTATGTTAATTTGAAATGTTAAAATGTCTCATGTTATACTCACATTTAAAAATAATTCACTCCTCACCTCTCCCAGTTGCTTTTGTAAGGAAAAGATTTCTTAAACAACATACCAAGAATGTTAAAGATTGATACATTTGCTTATTTTAAAATTAAAAACTTCTGTTAATTAAAAGACATCATAGAGATTAAAAAGATAAGATACAGAATTAGGGAAGATAATTTCAACACATGTAACAAATAAAACACTCATATCCAGTATATGTAAAAAACCCTTAAAAATACAGTTTTAAATGTGGGCAAAAGATTTAAATCCAAATGGCCAATGGGATGCTTCTAAGGTACCAGCAATATTCTATTTCTTGTCTAGTGGTAATTA